ATGAAGTTTTTAATCCCACAGTTTTTAATTTCCTATTACTATAAATGTCTTTTTTTTTTTAGTGGCTGTACATGTTTGACTTAAAATCCTTTTTTATTATTTTCTTAAAAAGTGAAATTAATATCAAGCAGCCTGGATTGAGAAGTTCTACTAAAATAACATTTATAGTAACAAGAAATAATGTGGGATTAAAAACTTCATTTAAAAAAATTTCTGTTGGTTACCTTTCAGGTACAAAAATGGAGCAAGCAGATATAGATAGAAACCCCTAGCAAAAGATGTGTTTTCCTTAAATAGATAAATTTGTTCTATCAAAATGGTCTCCCATGGCCAAAATGGGTAGCTGGATGTTTTGGCTCAAATAAGATCTATATATATATATATATATATATATATATATATATATATATATATTTTAAAGATATTTTTGTAGGTACAAAATTTAATGATCGAAATAAAAGTATAAAATTTAATATTACAAGACATATTAAAAAGTATATATATATATATAAATAAAAATTAAGAAATGAATTTCTCTTCCTCAAGAAAAGGTAAGAATGAAAATAGCAAACACTTATTTTACACAAGAGAAAAACTAATAACTTAAAAAAAAAACAATAAAAATGTGTTGCTTTAAAACTTCTAAAATACTATGTAATATTAAAATGTGTGTTTCTTGTCGAATCATCAGTGGGTTGAGAGTTTCTGAAGGAGCAGCAGCAGCGGCGGCGGCAATGGTAAATGTTGAAAAGTGGATTGTCTGTGAAATGATGAGGGAATAGATTTGTGATTGGTTCAAAAGAGGTGAAGAATTATGGAGAAAGTGGAATGTTGGCAAGAAGATGAAAAGGGATCTGCTAAAATGTCCTCTGAGACATGGTACACACACACACACGCGCTCACACGTGAATGAAGCAGCAGTAATTACATGATGATGATGAGCAGTGTTCAGTGAAAGAGAGAAAAATATAAACAAATAATAAAACGATAGCGGAGAAGGAAAGAGAGGAAATATGGTTAGACGACAGCATTCCAAACAGATATTCTTCAGCCTGGGACAGACATGCAGATGGATGTGCGTACCGGACGCAACCAAAGGCGTGAAAGATCAATAGCGTTGGGCAGCACTTCATAGAGAAATGACCAGTACTCCTTAACTGACCAATGGATCGGCCTGGTTCCATAGGGAAACTGATGCTCTAAAACTCTCTTCCTGCTGCAATGGAAGTTTTTTCCTTTACTGGCCAGAGACTTGGTGCGATCTGGTCACATCCCTCGTGGGCACCCTCTACAGACATTCAGGCGAGACTTGCGCTTTTGCATGCCGATCCACTGACAGATGCAATTTATCAACCCTGGACTTTGCAGAATTTCCCAAATCAATGGATGATTTTTCAGACCTGATTTACCTAATTTGGCACCAAGGGGACAAATCGAGTCAAGTCTAATTTGATAATTGGTTTCTTTGGGGAGCAGGGCTCTAGCACCTCATACAACGAATGCTTCAATGCATTATGAAATACTAGCCTGATACAACATTCATAAATTCTGAGCACACTGTGGGCCTGATCAGGTTTCTGATTTCTACGTCCATAGCAAAGTCATTCCTTATTTTAATGTTCCTTTATGTAGATATTAGGTGAAAGTTTTGATGCAGTTCTCTGCAAATGTTGACCTGTGGCACCCCCACTGCTCAGCCAATTAACAGCAACATTTTGCTAGGTTGAGGTTGGGGGGGGGGGGTTAATAAAACTAATGACTAAGAAAGAGATTCAGGAAGTGACTATTCAGAATACACATTAGTGCTACAGGCAATTACTTTTCTTTATGAAATCAAATCAATTAGATGTGCATTTCACTTTTTTTTCTTTCTTTTTATTTTTTTAAAAAATAATTTCCCCTCTGGCTTTAAAGTTATGAAAATGAAATCATCCAGAAAGAAGTGGCATTGATTGAATGCAATTCAAAAAAGTCCAACAGGTTTTGATCAATAAATAAAACTCTAGCAACAAACAAGTTTTTTTTCTTTTCTTAGCACTCTGCCACCAAATACCTGTAGATAAGGTATTAATATGCAGTGGTGTGAGTCTCTAGACTACTCTAATCAAATGCATATCAACAGAATGATCAGGACACAATACAGGGAAATTAGCAGAATACAGAACAGCCTTGTTCTTACAATCACAGAGATATTTTTCTATATATCAATCTCCATTTTCTTTTTCCAACAATTGGCAGAGCAAACGCAGAAAAAAAAAATCCTTATCTGATATCAAAGTTGTCATCATTTGATTCCTAATTTTTGTTTTATTTTGTTTTACAGCATATCAACTTCAATGGGTTATTTAATGCTGACAAAATTTTTATTGCTGGTAATATTTTTTTCATTCAAAAATCTATTTCTGGAAATATTTTTTCTTTGAAATGTATTCCTGGTAATATTTTTTTCAAAAAGTGTATAGCTGGTAATATTTTTTTTTTTAAATGTATAACTGGTCATTTTTTTTTTTTATAATGTATTGCTTGTAATAATTTTTTTTTACAAAGTATTTCTGGTATTAAAACCTATTTTTACACTTTCCTGGTGTTTTGACCCCAGTTTGGGGTTTAACTATGTACATAGTTAACCTCCAAACTGGGGTCAACCTCCTAGCTGGGACCCTAACAGGTGCTACCACCCCGGGTCAGGGTGGACCTGAGAACACCAGCAATTAAGAGGTGGTTCCTTGCTCCTCAAAACCTCCTGATCAGAGGCCTTGCTGTCGGTCATAGTTTATCGTCTTACCCAGGACGCCCTAGTTTTGGTCAAGACGAGACCAAGTGACTGATATTCAGTTGCACTGAATCTGAAAATTAACAAAAATGAGTAACAAAGATCTCCATATTGATAAGAACAAACAAAAAAAAAATTTTGAGTTCATGTTTTCAAATTGTACAATTTTGTGCTTCGAAAAAGGTGTATCAAACTGATATTTGTATGTAAATATTTTTGCTGCAATGTGTGTGTGGTTGTGGGGTGTTTTGCTGCAAGCTTGTCTGATATAACTACTGAGTAAGGGGAGTAAAACGTTATTTGGGTGACACACATATTTTGGGCTAAAACGAAAGCTAAATGATAATCAGGTTCCAAAGGAGTGTAAATAATAAGCAGGACACAGAAACATTACCCTCAACTATTCGTTCATGCACATAATAGAAAAATGTCAGCTTCACTCTGTTGGATTTTTGCTCTATTTTCAAAATATCTTTTTTAAAGTCAAGAGGACATCTGAATCATTAAATTGCTGAAAATGTGTCCCTGCTTTTAAAATTAATTCAACTCTGGGGTTTTATCTAAGATGGTTGACATTGTTCAGCTATTTTCCAAATTTATGCAATGAGGGATTTTAATTATTCAGATTTGTATTTTCACATTACATTCAATGATCTTTCAGTTTTTCTCTCTTTTCTTTCCATTCTCTCTCTCTCCTCAGATGAAGAATAATTAATTCAGCAAAATCAAAAGCAGATAGTATTATCAACAAGAAAGGAAATAATATCTGAATAACATGTAGTCAGAAAAGAGCTGAAACTAGAATCTTTACTCTGATTGACTCTTGCTGAAAGAAGTTTTGAAATACTAATGCTGACAACCTTTCACTGACCTCTGCTAAAAAGTTTTTCTTTTTCTGATCAATGGCTTTTATATAGTCTGAAAAATCTACATTTTATTTGTTTTGCTTTTTTGTTGTTAATAATACTAACATAAGACCTTAATAACCAGTCCTGTGATTCTGATGTATATTTTAACTGACGGAAAGAAAACCAATAGAAATATTAGTAAACAAATTCTCAAGATTACAGAAAGCAACATGAACTTGAGAAAACTGGGAGCCTAAAATAACAAAGATGAAGAAAATAATTCTAAGAAAGCTAAGGAATAATAAAAAAAAAACATTTTTCATTTCCTGGATTTATTTGAAAAACCAAATTGTAAAATTGCTAACCTCAATTTAAAGGTAACAGTCAAGGTGGCAAAGAAAAACAAAAATAAAAGTTTAGCAGTTCAATAATTGAACACCTGTTTGTCTATCTAGAGTGAATTTGTAGGTGTGGTCAATTTGAAATTCACTGGAGACCCCTATTGTTCTAGGAAAGACATTTCAAAATAAATTATTGACAATTTCAAAAATGCAGCCCCATTGTAGCTTAGACGATACTTTATGAACAATAATGTTTACAGTAGAGTACCATAGAGACTGGCAACCATCAATATTTGCAGTACCATAGACCAATAACTGTCAATATTTGCTATTGCTCAAACAAAGCCTGTAAAAGATATATTTTAATATACACAAAATTGCAAATAAAATGCTGAATTGTGCTTTCATAGGAAATTTTCAAAGTATGTTTGCAAACATGATGCCAGGGTGGGAAATATATTCACTGCTATGGGCACTCATATGTAAAACATCTAATTAAAAACTTACAATCCCTGTTTGCATTCGATAGATAGTTTTGTAATTATCTTTCAAAAGATCAGTGTAGGAAATACATCAAAATAAAAAGTTTTTGTTTTTTTTTAAGCATATCATTTAGATGAAAATTTTCATCAATTCATTGGTCTGTGAGAAATAAAGAATGTTATCATTGATGGCAATGATGGCTGTAGAGATTTAACACAAACATTTTGAAGAGTTTTTACTCCCTATTAAATATGTTGCCAATAAGCACACAGAATCCAAGGAAAGATAAAAAGAAAAACTGTTTATCATGGTGCATAAAATGTTAAACAACAAAATTAGTCTCCGCCAGTTTCTTTGACAACAATTCACATAAGATTAAAATGCTGTCTCTAGCAAATGCAGATAGAATTCAGTCATAGAGTAAAACACAAAAGCTAAAAACTTAGAATTCCATTGCAGACATTAGATTACTTGCCTTTGAAGTAAAGGATTAAGATGATTAAGGATTAAGAGGTCACAGTTAATAAATGTGTTATCAAGACAAATCCATTGCAATTACTCACCCACATAGAGTCCATTCCATATTTTGCCTAGTCGTATAGTGAGTAGATCCAAGGCATCTCCAAGTAGTAAAAATCTGTCAGGAAAGAAATGAACAAAGAGAAAAGTTTAAAATGGTTGCTTGTTTAAAACATTAAATACAACTTAGTCATCACTTTTGCCGATTGATAATAAAATTTGATCAAAATACAAATTATAGCCAAAAATCTGGAGAAGGGAAGCAAAATTTACAAGAAAATTAATGACAATTACAATTCAGAAGCAAAACACTTTGAAGTTTGGTCAAATCTGAAACATTTCAATAAGTTTAGCCAACATTAAAATATTTCTAAAAGTCATTTCTGTTATTTGATGTGAGAATAAACAAGAGAAATCACTGACAAATATCTATATCTTTATTGTTTCAGTGTGAGGCAAAAATTTATCAGGATTCATTCAAAGAAAAAAAAATTAACTTACAAGATTTTAACTTGTGTGCAAAAATATTTTGATTTCCTTCTTACAAATACAAAATTCTAGGAAATAATCTGAAACACAATAAACAAGCAATAAATATTTGATCTGTTTTATCAGTTGTCCTTTTCTGTCAATTGTCCTTCCTTTTTATTCTATCAGTTGTCCTTCCTTTTTATTCTATTAGTTGACCTTTTCTATCAGTTGTCCTTCCTTTTTATTCTATTAGTTGACCTTTTCTATCAGTTGTCCTTCCTTTTTATTCTATTAGTTGACCTTTTCTATCAGTTGTCCTTCCTTTTTATTCTATTAGTTGACCTTTTCTATCAATTGTCCTTTCTTTTTTATTCTATTAGTTGACCTTTTCTATCAATTGTCCTTCCTTTTTATTCTATTAGTTGACCTTTTCTATCAGTTGTCCTTCCTTTTTATTCTAACAGTTATCCATTTTTATCAATTGCCCTTCCTTTTTATTCTATCAGTTGTCTTTCCTTTTTATTCCAAGTTTACTTTTGTGCAGGACAATTTCCTCCTATAGAAAGCAAGATTTATAGCACCATTAACTGATTTTTTTTTAAAATTTGATGCTTGATCTTTTTATCTGCATGTCAAAATTAATGACAATTGTTCATGTAATTTCCAGAATACAATCCAAACAGAATTACTTCAATTATTTAAATGAAAAAAAAAAAAAAAAAAAAAATAAACAAAACAATCGATTAAAATATTTCAAGAAAACAAATATAAAAAAAAATTATATGTAGATGATTCAGACAACAAAAAAAGCACCTCTTGGAAAATAGCAAAATTTAATTTGAAAATGGAGGGTTTTGTCAAAAACACTAGACAATCATCAGGTTCCAATTGTATTTGTAATTATATATGCCCACTTAGGGCCTCCTTAAAAGAAAATATCAAATGAAGAAAGCCAAAGAATGCAAAATCAGTTTCAGAAATGATGCTGAGGCTCTCGTACAAATGAATAAGAAAAGAGTATGTTTTTAAATGTCGTATTGTATCAATAAAAATACCTCAATATAACTTTTTATATCAATAATTACCTAATTATTTATAGATAATTGATGACAGAATAATTCATTTGTATTACTTTTTAAAATTCTGTACTTGAAAGACAAAAATCTCATTTAAATTTAAAATGAATAAAAACTAAGGTCCATCCAGATTATTAAAATATCAGCTGTTTGTTTTTTTTAAACATTATAAATAGAGTTTCTGTTCATTTCTTTTTGTCTTTTATGCTTTGCCACATGTGGGACAGTTCTAAAGAAAGGAAATCTTCAGAATTCCCACTGACCTGTTTTCTATCAATGAATCTCTGATCAGCTTCATAAAATGACAGCCATTTTGAGCAATTGCATTTTCTCCCCATCTATTACATTTACATAATGATGCACCTAGATTATTCCATGTCACCAGTTCCACCTGCATGCAAAACTTTGGACATTTGTCTTATGAGGGCTGCCTTTAATATGTATAAGATCAATCTTCTGTAATTTGGGCAAACAAAAACAGCAAAAATGGTGGAGATCCCAATGTTTGCCGACAAAATTTATTACAATGTAATTTAAAATTCACAACTTTGCATTCGGTGACAATTCTATTTTGTCCAACTCTAAATTCTCCCTCATTATCTCTTTCTCTCTTTCCCAATAAAATATCTACATTTACTCAAAGGATCCCCCCCTCTCTCTCTCTCTCTCTTTGGCTGTTTGCTACTCTCTATTTTGTTTTTCTTCTGTCTTTCTCTGTCCATAATCACTTCAGCAACACTTTCATTAAATGAAACATTTTCAGCAATTATTCATTTTTTTTTACTCTTATTTCTTTCATCTTTATTTCACTTGCTATTCATCAAGGTGACTCAAAGCATCAAAATCTATGGCAGTGAGTAAATAGCATGGGGTCCAGAAATAAAGAATTCACTATTGATAAGACTTAATTCACTTTTGCCTTTCGAAGCCTGTTTTCCCATTACAGCTGCTCTACTGATTAAGCTACAAGAACTTTTAAAGTTGGTAAAGGATCAAATGTAATCATGCAAAATTTTTCCATGATAAAAATGATGAAAGATACCTGGCAACAGGGTAGAGTGCAAGGGTAAATGGATTCATGCCTTTTCCAAGAGCATTAGTGACTATCACAAGAAATCTCACCAATTCACTGTTCATGTTATTTGGCCATATTGTCCCACCAAATATACAGATTAAACAGGTAGACAGTCAAAACATTTTTTAGTACTTTAATACATAGTTTCCAACATATTCTTCAAAGTAGTATCCTTAGGCACATATCCAGCTAGATCACCATACTCTCCACACTTTTTTTGAATGGCAGTATATATAGATAGAGATATAAATAGAGAGAAAGAGGGGAGAGAGAAGGATTTGCATTAAAAGGTGTGAAAGAATTTAAGTATAGATAAATGTAAATATCCTTAATTAGGTTTACAATACCCAACCCTTCCACAGATAGGGAGATCAAACTTACACATAATACCTTGCAAAAAATGAATGAAAATCAAAAGTAAACCATTTCTGGCTCCTTTTTAAAAACTGAGGAAGATGTTTTACTCTAAAACTTTAAAATATAAAGAATTATTTTATTATTGATTATGTTCTATAGAATAACAAGATATCTGTCTCATATATAAGACATTAGTGGCAATGATGTCTTCATCAAGCTAGCTAATCTTACCATTACATGGGAGGTATTTCTGCCACCCCCTGTATAATAATAGTTTATACCAACTGTGTTCAAATGCAGATATACATATAATGGTGCATATAAGTATGAGGGGATGCTGTAGAGTCCTTTCCTCTTTCCAATCATCATCATCATCCTTGTATACATTTTGATAAATGTGTTTATTTGTTCTAATTCGATAGACATATAGACATACAGTAGCTACTGCCATTAGAATTGCTAAAAAATCAGCATACCATGATGAAAATCTGCTTCAAATGTAATGAAAACATAGTTTTATCGTCAAAATTGTTGTTGTTATGAAGAGGAAGGATCAAAGTATTTTTGATTTTTTAATTAAATTTTTTACTCCTTTTTAGAACATTTGAAACTTTTTAGTTTTTCTTGTGTCACTCGTACTAATTTGTAGCATAGCAAAGTTTTGCCTCTTTTTTGCAGTGACAGACACATCAATTTGGAAACTCTTGCAAAAATCAAATAATTGTTGAATTTTAATGAAATTTTCAGGTCTTTTTCAAAAATGAATGAAATTATTTTTGAAATTAAGACATTATTTAATTAGAGAGGTTTTTAATTGCTTTTATGAATAATATATATTAATAACAATATTGTCTGAAGAAAAAAAAATTTTTTAATGAAAAAGGAATTTTTACGAGATTTGTTTTCATTTTTTACAATTTAAAATTGAATAATTTATAAAGATTTTGGATCTTTTAAAGTTTAATTTTGATGAGATAATTCTTAGGGAATATTGTTATTATGTAAAACTATATTTACTAATCATATATTGTAAAGCTTATTACAATCTGAACATCATGACTATTTTTTAAAGAATTTTGATTTGTTTTTATATATGTATGTATATAGATGCAGAATTTCTGAAGTATGAATGTACAAACCAACAGATCTATTTTTAAAAGGTCACGTGTTTTAATGGTTGTCCCACTTTACACAGAAAAAAAAAAAACCCTAACAAAAATTATCTGCTAAACCATACTTAACTACGACCATGTTCAACTGCTGTCAATAAATCAATTAACACATCAGAAAACAACATTTTATGCTATAAGTAATATTTGTTTCAAATCAGATTAACTTATCTTTAAATTTGCTAATTTTCCTCAAATGATATTTGAGAAATGTTTTATTTTTGCAAGATTTTTAAAATGGAAAAGTAAGTTTTGTTTACAAATGTCTAAAAAATGGCTGACGTTATTGATTTTACTGAAAAAAAAATGTAAGTCTATTCCAATCAATATAATTTCTGTCTAAAATACACCATAGTATTTTGCTTACCAGTTATAGTAAATTTATTCCATTAGCTTTTATTTAAAGATAAATTGAAATCTTTAAGAAAGCTTCTTCCTTTTTAAGAATTCATTTTAAACCTTACATATACCCAATTTGTGGAGGTGCTTGCTTTCAGATCATATTAACTGATATTTCCATTGATATTCTTTTACATACTTTGATTATTTATTATTAGATATATTCTTGTCAAAGTCTATGTTGCTAACGTTTCCCTAAAAGTACATAGATGTTGATATATATATATATATATATATATATATATATATATATATATATATATATAAATATATATATATGATATTTATCTATAAATAAACTCTGTTTAAATACATTAGTTAAAATTAGATTAAAAACTATGTCTACAAGAAAATGCAAATCCTATCAGAGAAGGTATTCAATCCACTGCCACACTTCTTATATGTGTCATATTTCTTCAGGTTGTGGGCAATCATGGCTATCCACAACTTGTTGTCCTTTGTTGATTTAAGTAACTTTCAGCTTTTCATTGTCACTGTTCTTTCATCCGTTCATGCAAACTCAATGTTTCCTCTTGCTCTTCTCTTGCCTTCAATATATTGCCCTCTGAGT